GATTTACCAGTGGAAGTCCTTTGCCCATTTTTCTGTTTGGCTATTTATCTTTTCCTTACCGATATGGAAGACTTCCTAATTCTTAGTCCCTTTTTTTCCTCTTTCCATTTAGCACTTGCCCTTTTTCTTTTTTTCTTTTTTCTAAGACAGGGTCTCGTTCTCACTCTGTTACCCAGGCTAGAGTGCAATGGCACAATCATAGTTTACTGCAGCCTCAAACGCCTGGGCTCAAGCAACCATTCCACCTCAACCTCCTGAGCAGCTAGTACTATAGGCACATGCCATTATGCCTGGCTTTTTTTTTTTTTTTGGAGAGATGGGGGTCTTGCTATATTGCACAGGCTGGTCTCGAACTTCCGTGCCTCAAGTGATCCTCCCATTTCAGCCTCTCAAAGCTGGGATTACAGGTGTGATCCACCATGCTCAGCCTGCCCTTTAATTTTCTGGTGACTTCTAAAGCAGTTTTTAGTTATTTAACATTTAAAAAATAAATATTTTACTTAATGTTTCATGTAATATAATCCCCCCTCCCAATACTATACAAGTTTTTCTTTATATTTTCTTCTAGTAAGGCTATGGTTTCATTTTTATATTAAAATCTTTCAAATCATCCAAATTCATGAAAATCACAATAAATCACTAGAAATTTATTTTGGAACATGGTGTATTTTTTCCCTCCAACACTTGGCCAATGACCCCTTCATTTATTGCATGGTTTATATTTTCCTCACTGATTATAAATTTAACATTTAAAAAAAAGAGATGGGGTCTTGCTATGTTACTCAGGCTGAAGTGCAGTGGCCATTCACAGGTGCAATCACAGTGCACTAAAACCTCAAACTCCTGTGCTCAAGTGATCCTCCCATTTCAGCCTCCTGAGTAGCTGAGACTACAGGCTTGTGCTACCATTCCCAGCTTGAATGCCACTTTTATTATCTACGTGGGTGTGAATAACATTGAATTTTAATGTGAAAATATAAACCCACATATCTAACCATTTCCCCTCTGTGTATGTTGCCTGGGACCTCTTGAAGAGCTGTTTTTAATCAGCTATTGTGTGGAGGGTAAATGAGGTTTCATTTCAAATGCCAAAAAGATACTGAATGAATCTCTAGCTCTTTAAAATTAAATCAGAAAGTGTTATAAATATTTTGTAACAATGTCATTGCTAATGCAGACTTGTGAGATATTATAATCTAAGCTTTTTTATTGCCATACATCTGGGCTATGATGGCATATATTTTATGATCATATTTTGCTCATTAAGCCAATAAAATGTTCCTAATTAACTATGGGTGATATATGCATAAATTATATATTTATTATTATTACTCAGGGGCTAAGTATTATTTGTGAATTTAAAATGATCAAGGCCAGGCGCAGTGGCTCACACCTGTAATCCCAGCCCTTTGGGAGGCCAAGGCAGGCGGATCACGAGGTCAGGAGTTTGAGACCAGCCTTACCAACATGATGAAACCCATCTCTACTAAAAATACAAAAATTAGCCGGGCATGGTGGCGCACACCTGTAATCCCAGCTACTCAGGAGACTGAGGCAGGAGAATTGTCTGAACCCGGGAAGTGGAGGTTGCAGTGAGCCTAGATTGCACCACTGCACTCCAGCCTGGGTGACAGAGTGAGACTCCATCTTAAAAAAAAAACAAAACAATGATCAAACACATTTTGTATACATGAGTACCTGTATGTGACCAGTTTGTAGATCAATCTTAAAGCCAAATGTATTGGTTCATGTTTTTCCAATATAATCAATATAATTACACCAAAAAAATAGAAATCGATTTTGTTATCCTTTAAATTTAAGCTGCCAATACATAGAAAAGCATCTGTGTAGGTTTCAGTTGTGCTTAAGTTGTTCCTTTCTCCCAAATACATGAAAATCACAAAAATACATATTTCTGTTCTAAATGTAAATAGTAACCTTAATTTTAGCTTTAATAAAGATGATAGGTTTGATGGTGAATGCCATCATGGTAAACTGGTATTTATTCGGGAACAGTGACTTTCTCAATCACTTTGCCTGTAATTTAGCCATATGCCACTTACCATTAAATGCTCCTGAAAATACTACAACTGATCACTTAATCAATGTACTAGTTCATTGTGGTAAATGTTGGCCTTAACCCATTTATGCTGGAGGTCGCAAATTTTTTTTTGTGAAAAGTCAGACGATGACCTTGAGCATAGGATATAAATAACTCCCACAAGCTTAGCGTTCCAATAATGGAACATTAGGCATAAATGGGTTTTAACCAAAACAATGAAGTAGGTCAAGTTACATAACCAAGCTTATAAAGGTGCATCTGCAGAATTTTATATTAGGTCATTTCAAAGATATATGTAACCCACTTTTCTTCCCCTATATACATTCCAATAAGACATTTCAGGCTTATTTTGGTGCATTTGATAGATGTTAAAAATAATACTTGCTGTCAAAAAACAGCATTAAATCCTGTGTGATCCTGACTGAAAAAAGAGCTACAATGTGGTTACCAAGAAAATGGTCTGCGAATTGCTTGGGCAGAATCTCTAAAGCCGTTCTTTTCCCAGCACTCATTTACAGTGAAGAAAACAAACCAGGTGGCAGGGAAATTTAGCTTGAAAAGAGGCTCATTTTCCCCTCCCGAAAGACAAATTTGATTTTATCTCTTGGCTCATATTGCAAAGTGTGGCTGTTCTCCAAATTAGCTCGAGGATGATTTTTTTAAAATGTTTCTCACTTCCTTCCCCTTAATCATGCCTTCTACAGTGTATTGAGAATATCTACTCTTCATCTCTTCAAGTCTCTCACAGATCATTTCTCCTTTCGCCTTCTTCTAACTTCCTGTTCTGTCACAAAAATCTTTTGATCAATTATCTCTACTTTTCTTGTAAAATCTCAACTTTATGTGCTAGGCTTCAAGCCACCACTATTTTTATAAATGTGCTTATCACATGATAAGCATCATGCCACCACAAAAGGTATCTCTATTTTTCTTTCTTTCTGTCTTTTTTTCTTTTGGAGTCTGGCTCTGCCGCCCAGGCTGGAGTGTAGTGGTGCGATCTCGGCTCACTGCAAGCTCCGCCTCCCAGGTTCACGCCATTCTCCTGCCTCAGCCTCCCGAGTAGCTGGGACTACAGGCACCCCCCACCACACCCAGCTAATGTTTTGTAGTTTTAGTAGAGACAGGGTGTCACCGTGTTAGTCAGGATGATCTCTATCTCCTGACCTCGTGATCCGCCCACCTCAGCCTCCCAAAGTGCTGGGATTACAGGCATGAGCCACTGCGCCCGGCCCACAAAGGATATCTCTATTTTATAAATGAAAAAGACTGAGCTTAGAAACATTCAGTAGCTTTTTCTTGCTCACCAGGCTAGTAAAAGTTGAAGAGGAATAGGAATATGTGACTTAATCCCAGGTATAGAAGGCCCAGGGCCCACACTTACTTTCGATACCAACAATGCAGGGGCAGTATAACATAACTATGAAGAAGAGTTGTTCTGGAGCCTGACCGCATGAGCTTCAATCCTGGCTTTGTCACCTAAGAGTTAATCTAAATTTTTTGTGTTTCAGTGTCATCATCTGTAAAATATAAACCATTTATTGAACAACTATTCACTGGTTCCCAATCATTCCACCTCAAAGTTGTTCTCTGATCTGCTGTCTTGCTTTTGTTTAATTTGTCACATTTTATGCTGATGATCACCAAGGGCTTAGATGTCTAAAAATGAAGGCTTAAATCACTCTATTAGGCAAAGCCCCTCAATCAGTTGGAATATTAACTGTAAGCAGGGAAACCTGGATGGGTAGTCATACATACTAGCTATGGCCTTATAAGCTATAGTGAGAATGAGTAGTCCACATATACTGCTGGAATGTCTGAAGACTGATAAATTACCTACTCCTCCTCCCCGCCTTTTTTTCCTAAAAGACAAGGTCTTGCTCTGATGCCCAGGCTGGAGTGCAATGGCCTGATGATTGCTCACTGCAGCCTTGAACTCCTGGGCTCAATCAATCCTCCCACCTCAGCCTCCTGAGTAGCTAGGACTACAGGTGCACGCCACCACGCCTGACTAAATTTTTTTTTTTTTTTACTTTTTATTAGAGACAGGGTCTTGAAATGCTGCCTAGGCTGGTCTTAAACTCCTGGCCTCAAGAGAGCCTCCCACCTCTTTTTTTCTTTTTAAAATAAGAACTATCACTGGTTTTTTCTCCTTTCTTTTTTTTTTTTTTTTCCCGTAGCAACTATTGCCACCTTGGCCCCAACAGTTATTTATAGAGTGCATTGGTAGTAATTACACTTACAATTTAGTCCATGGAGTGCAGGACCATGAGGAACTATAGTTAGATAAGACTGTGCCAGAATTAGAAGAATAGATATTTTACTTTCAGATATCATAACTAAAAGAATATTAAACCCAAGATGCTCCTTCCATCAGCTGGATGTGCCTTTGGGCTTAGAAAGATGGCAAGTATAGGAGTTGTACTGGAATGGCTGGATCGAATAGGTTGAAGGCATTTTTGTCATTGTACATGTGGGGAAAGGCAACCAAGTAATAAGACACAACAGATATCTCTTAAGGCAGCCACACAGCTCACAGTGACACCTCGCCCCCAAGCATAGCATAGGGGCGGAACAGTAGCAAAATATCTATACACATAACTTGCAGATGAGTCATGCCTGCGTAACATGGAGGTGGAAATATGACCCAAATTGGGCAAACAGACTTGTTTTCCCAAGAAACTGGAATTTTGATGTGAGATGCATAGAGGATGAGTTGTTTACAGCTCACCAGGAAGACAGTTTATGGATTCCTACCAGTGAGTTCCCCAGAGTTTCCCTGGTTATTCAACAGTTCCCAGGATCCCATGAGATACCCCAGTATCCTTCCACTAAAGTCAACTTAACTAGCTGGAGTTGTTGTTTGCAACCAGAACCTTAACTACTACACTCCCCAAATAGCTTTCTCTCATGTTATTCCTTTATGTATTCCTTTCTCTCCACCAAAATAGCAAAATAAAAAAAAAAAAAATTGGGCTTACCAAGAATGCTATGATATTTTGACTCACTGAGCTCTGGTTGTTTCCCTGCATGAAATTCCCTTCTTCTTCTTCCTGAAACCTTGTTCAAGAATACTTCCACTATGATACTTACCATTGTCAACCCATACTTACTTGCTTTGATTTGGAAGGTCTTCCACTGTGCCCTTAGGGCCTGTCATATCAAAATCATGGCACTTACCATACTGTACTGTGTAGTCTTTGGTTTACTTGCCTATCTCCCCCATTAGATGGTAAGCTCCTTGATAGTAGGGGCAACTTCCCATCTGACTTTATTTCTCCAGTTCTTTATTACAGTACCTAGTGCCCAGGAGACTCAGTAAGTAAACAGATAAATAAGTAAACAGTTTCTGCTTCAATATGAGAGCATGATTAAGCTTACCTGCTGGAGGAATGTGAGGAAAACAGCCAATGTAAAACAGCCACACCCTTTCTAGAGCTGATGAAAGCCAACTGGTTCCAAATGTGGAAGTCCAGCAAAAAATCAGCAGAGCCACCTACCCAACCCACAGCTGACTTAGAAGATAATTCCAGAGGAGCTGTCCAACTAATGCAGAGACTCCTAAGAAAAAAGGTATAGTTATTGTTTTAACCCACTGCCCTTTGGGTGGCTTCTTAGGCAGCATTTTTGTGGCAATAAATAACTGGTGCAATATCTGTGGGTTAGATTTTACCTGAGGATCACCAACTTGAGAGCTTTGTTTGCTAAAAAAAAAAAAGGTTTTAAATCCAAGGATTGCTTTTTACAAATCCCACTGTGAATGTGAAGAATGGATATATTTATAAATCCGTAGAAATAATATTTCTCATTACTTACTGTTTTAAGATTAGTAGAAGACATTTTTAAAAAGAATAATTTAAAATTTAAAAAAATTTAAGGGAAAATCAAAAGTAAAACCACCAATAACTTCTTTATTTTAGCACACACGTTTGCATTTCTATTGAGCCTTTCTCCATGTACATATGTATTTTCACATTGTTCTCATAACAATGTTGTATTTTGTTTTAATATTAGAGGAAAATTACCATATTCATATATAATCTTCATAAGTATTTTCATGCCTATGTAAGTTATTCAAATAGATTTACTGTAATTAATCTGTTTCAATTGTTTTTAAAAGTTAAATTAATTTTTTTCTATTAGCAACAATATAGCAAAGGTTTTTCTTCTTTCGGTATTACTTTTTCAGGCAGTAAACATTGTCTTTCTTGTTTATTGCCATATCCCCTCATAACCCCAGTAACTAGCAAAGTATATGGTAGACACTAATAAACATTTCTTGAATGAAAGCAATGCATGAATGAGTAAATGGAATTTACAGAAGTAGGCTTTCTAGTTCCATCTGCTTCAAATGCTTTTTAAAGAAAATTAGCAGGACTGAATTAGATTCAACATTCACACCATTTGAAAGAAAAATGGCATCACAATTTAAACTTATCATCTATAGATAAAGAGATTTGTTATTCACCTCAAAATCTGAGTTAGTTGCATGGGAATGTATCAGCTTTAACTGAACACACCAAAAAAAGAATTCTAAGTTTTTTGTTCATGAACTGCTTGTACAAATATCACTGGATATATACCATTTATTCCCAGTTCTCATTCTCTTCTACAACACTTGACACTTTGGCCTGTTACTTTTTCTCAAACTTGGTTGGTTGTGTATCTGTTTTTCTGACAGTGAATTTACACAACTTCTCTTGCTGTTTCTTTGACCCCTCCTTTGCCCTTGCCTGTGGTCATTCTCTAAAGATTTCCTTAGTCTTCTGCTCTTCTCCCTCTGCAAGCATTCTCTATAATCACTCACCTAAAATTTGGCTTCAACTTGTCCTTTCTGTGAAACATGCTCAGATCTATATATCTAATCCTGATCACTCCATCTGTGTCTTTTCAATCTCATCCTCCTCCATTTCCTTGAGCTTCATTTTGCTTGTATTTTCAATTTACCTCTCTTCTCTGGCTCCTTTCCCTTGAGCTACACGTGCCTTTGCAATTCCTCCTTGACCCTGCTTCTTCCTTAAGGTGTTTTCTCATTGCTCCCTTTTCCTTTACCACCAAACTTTTTGAAAAAGTACTCTCTGCTGCCTGGTTCCAGTTCTCCCCCTCATTCCTCTTCAGTTCTTTGCAAGTTGACTTCCGATCTCTCTTCCTGAACTTTTACTTCAGTAACACTATCTTTGATCCCCTTCCAACAATGCCTCTCTGTGGCAGCTCACACTCTTGCAACTCTCTCCCCACAACTTCCTTTACATAATGCTTCTTGGTTTCTATCAAATCTTTCCTCAAATATTTTCTTCTTTTTGCTTTCTGTCTTTGAACATTTTTCAAAAAATTCTACCATCTTTAAAGATCTTCATCCAGTTTCAAAGTTAACAAATATTTACTGAGTGCCAAGAACTGTCCTGGCTCTGGGGATGCAGAAATAAACCAGACCTTCACTGGCTCTGTGTACTTACAGTTTAGCTTAAACAAACCCTACTATAGAGGGACTTGTTACATAGCCCTACTATATGATCCCACATCTCCCTGTCCAGCTCTCACAGGACACATCCATTTGGATGGCTATTTCTCTCCATCCAAATCTACCTCTTCTTAGCTATCATTGTCCCCACCTCCATTATTATTTAGGCATGGTCCTCCTATCTCACGGTAGATGCAGTCAAAAGCTAAATCCTGTAAATTCTGTTTCCAAATGCCTCTAATTTGTTTCTTCTATGTTTATCACCAAACTTTCTTTGTTCAGGTCTACATCATTACTGTGTTTTTACAATAGCTTAATAATTAACGTTCTTGTCTCTGTGCATTCCAGACCATCTTCTATGCCAACTCAAACTAATCTTTTTAAACATTATTGTTTACGTCATCCCCTTCTCAAAAATGTTCACTAACTCTTTCCACTGCTTAAAAATGATCTCCAGACTTCTTAAAAGGATGTTGGAAAGGCTCAAAACTTTGCAGTCCGAAAGCTTGGGTTGCATTTCCAATCTGCCACTTATTCACTCCATGACCTTGAATAATCTCACTGGGCTTCAATTTTCCCATCCATCAACTGGGATTAATGACTAGTTATAAAGACCAAATACGTGTGAAAGTACTTTATATTTTTTAAAGTCCTATAATGAATATAACCTTTTTTCCTTTTTTTTTTTTTTTTTTTTTTTTTAATTTAGAGATAGTTACCAAATTACAAATAGCTTCAGCTTCGGAGTTAAATAACAACCTGGTTTGAAATTTCAGCTCCATTACTTATTATCTGTGAGACTTTGAACAAATTAGTAAAACTCTCTGAGACTGTTTTCCCCCCATGTCAAAACACCTATTTTGCATGGCTATATAGAAATTAAATGAAATAGCAAATATGAAAACTTTTGGCCCAGTGTATAATTCATATCAGGCACTGATCTGTTTTCTTTTTGCCCTAACCTACTTTTCCTGCATTATATACCACTACACCTCTTTACAAACCCTATTAACAGAGCCACTCTAGACTACTTTATTTTCCCAAGTCATACAATATACTTTTGTGTTTTTTCTTCAGTTATATGCTCTTTCCTTCTCTACCAAAATTGTACTCAATCTTCAAGCCGCAGTTAAAATATTCAGTCCTCCATAAAACCCTTTGTACTTCACTAGTGTGTTAATCACTTCTTCCCATGCACATTCTTAACCTGTGTGTTTTATCACAGTATTTATTTCAATCTGGTTTATATTCTGCTTCTCCCACCAGATTATAGGGTCTTCAAGAACAAGGGGGGAGTTATATTCATCTTTATTTCTCCTACATCATAGTCAGGACACTAGACAGTTATTGAATGAATGTAGAAATCAGATGCTGTCTTCTCTTTTTTTTTTTTTTTTTTTGAGACGGAGTCTCGCTCTGTCACCCAGGCTGGAGTGCAGTGGCTGGATCTCAGCTCACTGCAAGCTCCGCCTCCCGGGTTCACGCCATTCTCCTGCCTCAGCCTCCCGAGTAGCTGGGACTACAGGTGCCTGCCACCTCACCCGGCTAAGTTTTTGTATTTTTAGTAGAGATGGGGTTTCACTGTGTTAGCCAGGATGGTCTCGATCTCCTGACCTCGTGATCCGCCCATCTCGGCCTCCCAAAGTGCTGGGATTACAGGCTTGAGCCACCGCGCCCGGCCCAGATGCTGTCTTCTCTTTCCTCTTTCTATAGGACACCACGTCTATACATGCCTGCCCAAACACATGCAAAAGCAAGCACGTCTTCTCTAAACAGCTCCCTTTCAACTCCACTATTTTTGACAGTGACACTCCCCTAACCGTAGTCTGAAGCTAAACTTTTTTTTTTTCCTTTTCTTGAGACAGGGTCTCACTCTGTCACCTAGGCTGGAGTGTAGTAGCATGATCATGGCTCACTGCAGCCTCAACCTCCTGGGCTCAAGTAATCCTCCCACCTCAGCTTCCCAAGTAGCTAGGCTCACAGGTGTGCACAACTGCACCTAGACAACATGAAAAAATAATGTTTCATATATATGCACTCTCTCTGAAACTCTTAAAGCTTAATAAGGAGATGTTCTCTTTGTCCTCAAAAGCCTATTTATAATATAGATACATATAGTATACTATAAATAACTATTTAAATATGGGCCACAGATTAGCATATTTTATGACATATCACACTGGTATTTACATCCAATTAAATTTCTCTCAGCCACATATGTAATAAACTAGTTACATGGTTTATTACTAGTTGGACTGACCAAGCCTGATAAAGATAATAGACAGTAACATTATATAACACTTCATACTACAAAAAGTACTTTCACACAAGTCTCATTTGATTTTGAATCCTGTGTGTTACATAATATTTCTATATCTGAATTGAAGAAAATGAGGCTTGGAGAGTGACTTGTCTAAGTAAAAAAAGTTGGGACTGGTACCTACAACTCTTTACTATACATTCAATTCTGTTTATGCTACCACAGAAGCCTCTAGCAATAAACTATTACTGAAATAATGTGTGCTCTACTCATCTATTTAGCACAAGTCTATAAAGAACATAAATGTTACATGAAAAAGCAAAGTTATTATAGTTTTTTCAGGAGAGACAAGATATGGGTCAGTGACACTGTGACAACTCAGGACATTTTTTGCCAGCTAGCTTTTTCAGATTGATAAACTTGATAAGGTCAAGATAAATTTAGGCACTATAATAAATCTTTAAATCAACAGTAAACTGACGAAAAAAAAAAAAACAACAAACCACCACTTCATAAAGATTTTTTTTTTGAGACAGTCTTGCTCCGTCGCCCAGGATGGAGTGTAGTGGTGCAATCTCGGCTCACTACAACCTTTGCCTCCAGGGTTCAAGTGATTCTCCTGCCTCAGCCTCCCAAGTAACTGGGATTACAGGTGCCCACCACCACACCCAGCTAGTTTTTGTATTTTTAGAAGAGGTGGGGTTTCACCATGTTGGCCAGGCTGGTCAACTTCTGAGCTTAAGTGATCCGCCTACCTTGGCCTCTCAAAAGTGCTGGTATTACAAGTATGAGCCACTATGCCCGGCCTGAAGAAAATTTAATTAAAATACTGTTTTTAATCAAAGAAATTTTGTTTTGACTAAATTTAGTAGCACTGAAAAACAAGTGTCCACACTTCAGAAATTAAAGAACCAGTAAGTGGTCCTGGAGAAAATGCTAAATGAAAAAATAGAGTAGTAAACTGTAATGTCTTCTTGAGAACAGCATACAGGGCTCAGACAGAATGTTTTAAGAAAACATTGTCAACAAGCCAGGTGTCATCAAGAGTAATGAATCTGATGAACCAAAGTGACAAAATGGATTTAAACGGTGTCTTGTTTTTAGAAATTCCAACATCCCACTATTTATATAGCCTCTTATTCCACACGACAGTATGACAAACTTAGTTTGTCTTCTTTTTTTTTTTTTTTTTTTAAAGTTTTTTGAGACAAAGACTCTTTCTCTGTCACCCAGGCTGGAAATGCAATGGCACAATCGCAGCTCACTGCAGCCTTGACCCCCTGGGCTCAATCGATCCTCCCACCTTACCCTCCAGAGTAGCCAGAACTACTGTGCCTGCAACCAAGCCCGGTGGAAAAAAAAAAAACCCGTAAGAGTGTCATACTGTCATATGGGAGAAGAGGCTATACTATAAACAGTGGGATATTGGAATGAATACACACACACACACACACACACACACACACACACAGATATTTGTAGGGACGGGTCTCACATGTTGCCCAGGGGGGTCCTGAACTCCTGGGCTCATGTGATCTCCCTGCCTCAGCCTCCCAAAGTGTTGGGTTTACAGGTATGATGAACCACAGCGCCCGTCTGACACACTTTTTAAAATGCAATTTCTGTTTAGATCTTGACACCTGTTGATATTACTAGTCACTATGGAAAGAAGCAAAAACAGTTAAGATGCTCTAACATTTTTTTTCCCCTGTAGAAGCCAACATGGAATACACCATGAAAACTGTCTAAATGGGAACCTTCTAATACGGCTCATTGTACGCCATGCATTTCCACTACGTTGGAACTGACTTCTACTTTCCTCCTTATCTATTAGGCGACTTAGTCGCCTCTAGGCAAGTAACTTCTCTGTTTCATTTTCCATGCAGTAAAAAAAAAAAAAAAAGGTGGAGGACTTTAGAGAGCTTTTACCCGAATAAGGTCTATTAGACATCTTCAAAAGCTTTCTCTCCAGACGACGCAGAAACAGGCACACGGGATTCTGCGCTTTCCCCACCTCCCACTCCCAAGCCCAGGCCCCATTCTTCTCACTTTCAATCCTCATTTGGGCTCCTAAAAGAATAGCAAAGAGAGTTCTTTTATCAATACCAGCGCTCCTCTGTCCCCAAATCCGGCTAGGGATGGGTTCGGAGGCCTCAGCTGCTGGAGAGAGGGTAGAGACGATCCTTCCTCGCCCATCTAGCCAGCCACCACCCCTTCCCAGATCTAGCGTCCGGGCCCCTGACCAAGCGCGTGCTTGGAGCTCTCCGGTACAGTGACGCGCGCGCTTGCCCGGCTAGGGCCCCTGTGAAGGAATGGGATCCCGAGGTGCTTGCCAGGACCGCAGCAGGCGGAAGCTGCTGGCAGCGGGAACGGGCGGCTCCCGTCGGCGTGGGTGGGGGAAGGGCGGCAGCCACATCCGGAAGTCGGTCCGGGAGGGAGGGGGAAATCTGAGGAACGAAGCTTCCGGCGGCGCAAAGGGTGTCGGGAGCGGCTTCCTGCAAATCTTCCCTGGCCTCTGGAGGGACCACCGTTGCCGCCGCTTCGGCTTCCAGGATCTGCGTTCGGGTTACGCGGCCACGGTGGCAGCCACTGCGACTCCCACTGTGCCTGGCTCTGTCCATATTAGTTCCCAGGCGGCCGTCGCCGTTCCAGCAGCGGCAGCGGCAGCGGCGGACATGTTGTGAGGCGGCGGCGCGGGTGTCTGAAGGATGGTTTGGCCGAGGCGGCGGCAACGGCTGCTGGCGGCGGCGGCAGCGGCAGCGGGGCCTCGGGCTCTATAGAGCCGAGCCCGCTGGGTACCCGCCCGGTACCGCGGCGAGGCCAGTGCCCCTGGATCTTGCCTCTGCTTCGACGCCGTTGGGGACCAGTTAGGCGACAGTGCCCGCCCCTCTGAGGAGACCCGAAGGTGGTTCCCCAGCCGCTCAAATTTCCGGACCACCGCGCTTTCCCCTCAGCCTGGGCTGTGCTCTCTCTAGAATCCTCAGGCCCCCACTTTCTTCCCAAACTCATCCTAAATCTCTCACACACGCGAGCGTTCCCAGCCCTCAAGCCAGCTCCTCCTCCGTTCATTTTCTGCACCCTCTTCGCGAAGCACCCCCCGGGATCACTCTCCGAGGGCGGCTTTTTGAGAGATCTCCGTGGAGTAGTGGACCAGAGCCGGGGAGTTTTTAAAAGCCGGGGCGCGAGAAACAGGAAGGTACTATGGCTTCCTCGTCTGGCAACGATGATGATCTCACTATCCCCAGAGCTGCTATCAATAAAATGATCAAAGAGACTCTTCCTAATGTCCGGGTGGCCAACGATGCTCGAGAGCTGGTGGTGAACTGCTGCACTGAATTCATTCACCTTATATCTTCTGAAGCCAATGAGATTTGTAACAAATCGGAAAAGAAGACCATCTCACCAGAACATGTCATACAAGGTAAGTCATGTGTGGAAATTGGTTTGAATGAGGGTCTAGGGGAGCAGTCTGCTAATCGCGTGACGCTTTCATGTCAAAGCCTTCATTCCTCTTCACTGGTAAGTAACTTAATGAAAAAGCCAGACTGGCATGTAGGTAGCCCGTGCTTTAAAAACAATCCCTTTGTAGCATTCTTGCAGACTTTTCATCTAGCGAATACACGTAAGGAGTGCAAACATTTAGGTCAACGTCCCCAAAACATAAAGAGTGATCTCACTTTACAGCCAGGTAAGCCGAAGCAACAGGAATTGCTTGCCTGAAGTTGAACTTAGATAATAATTAAGGAACGCAGAAGTTCTCCCTTGGAAAATTAAAAATTCAGACAGAGGAACTTCAAGCATGGATGGAGACAGAGCGCCCCTTCCCCACCTGACCTTTCACCAATGTAGAGGAAAAGATTTATTTTCTGAACACATGAGTTAAAAAATTCTTAATATACAATGTGTTCAACGTTGTCAAGTTTATCGTTGTTGAATAAAAGGAGGTATGTTTTCTGCTCTAAAAATGGTTTGATGGTACGTTCATGAATGAGTTACGAAAGCACTCCTGGTCCATTCTGTAAGAAAAGGGTGAACTTTAAATTTTTGTTTTTTTCTTTTTGTTTGCCTTTATGTCGTTTGCTTTGTTCTATTCTGTGGAGATAAGTTTTAAAATCTTTGATTGAAAGTTTATGCAAGTTTTTTTTTTTTAACGGAAAATTTCCCCGTCCTTTCCTGCTGTCATTCTTATTTGGATGCATACACTTAGGCTTTTATTGAACAGCACTTCTGAAAGCTTCAACAGTTTCTTTTATCCTGAAAAGGTTGTGGTCCCGTAATAGGGATTTGGGGGACTGTATTCTAATGGTTTCAGAGAGGAGAAACATATTTACTAGTCATAATGTTTCGGGAATGTACCTTTTGCGATATTTTTACATGTACTCTTGTGAAAGAGTTGTTCTCAATTTGAAGTGAGAACTTGCCTTTCGTAATAATCTAATTAAAAGTATTGATTGCTTGTGAAACCAGGGAAAAAATGGTTAATTTTAATCATTTTGGTAGGCAGGTGGTTGTCTGTCACTTAATTTTTATACTTTAACTTTTTAAAATGTGACTTGCCTGTTGTACTGAAGTAGAGAACACATCTGCTTATGTTGACCATATCCAATATTTTACTGTCAGTATTGACAAAAGGATTAAATGATTTTTAATCCTTTATGACGTCTTGAAAGTAGTTTTAAAATATATCCTGCCATTTCAGTACATAAGGAGAAAAATCCCTAGGAAAAAGCATATTTGATTCTTAAAACTAGTACTAGTTGTTTTTTTTTTTTTTTTCTACTTGATGTGCTGAATACTCTAGCAAGTAAAATGAAAGCCAAGTTGTCTGTTTTTTCTCTTGTGTATTTATTTTTACATTGTATGTGTGATTGCTGTCATAAGTCTTTCACAAGATTATCCAGCACAGATAGCTGTAATTTCTTTTTACAACTCATAAAAAGGAAAAAGAACTTTTTATCAACATTGCCTTTCTAATGAAAATTGCAAAAGATTTCAACAGGGTCTGCCTAAATATTTGTTTACACTACAGAAGTGGGGATCGTTCCAAAAACCTAATAACACATTACAGTCTGTCTTCTTGGGGAGAGTTAATTCTTTTCTAGGATATATTTAGATTTCTGATTGACATGATGGAATAGAAGTGCAGCTGTAGCAAGCAGTATGCTAAATAATTCAACTTTGGAATATGCTAAATTCAGTTTAATGTGTGAGTCAGAAAGCTATAGTGAAAAAGCATTTCCATTGTGTAATGAAGATGATTTGTTTTTGAAAATCATGTATTGACGTGTTATAGTCTTAAAATTTTACCTCTTTTTTTTGTATTATGCTATTGTTAGGTGGATAAGAATCTACATTTTCGCCCAAGAATTCTCCCTAATTGGGGTTGTAGACTTTATACATTTATAATCTCATATTGCTTAATTATTCCAAAGAAGTTTTGTTTTGAGAGGTTAAATTTTTAAAGAAATTCTTAAGGTTTATATGTTTTAGGTGTTTGAAGTGTGTTCCTGTACACTAATCATAATAGATAGGACATTTTTATACTTTTCTGTCAGCATTGATTAGGAATGTAGAATATATCCAAGTGGAATAAATAATGTACATTTTAAAGTGGTATGATTCTCACATGTTGAAGTTTGAGTTTTTAGTGGTAAGTTTAATGAACTGGACTTTGCTTTAGGACATTTCACTTGTTCATTTCCCACCTTGCTTTATCTTGTCTGAACAAATTAAGCATTCTGAGATAGTTCTGTAAAATGCAAGTTAAAGTTGAACCAATTTGATCACCAGTAAATCTATTAAATAACTTAGTTTAAAAAAATTTTTTTTCTGTTTTGCTTATTTTGAGTTTAAGAAAGTAGACTTGGTATTGAAGATCATAGATATGTGAATAGAGGGAGTTCTGAGCTATAAAAGGTGTTCCTATTTTATTGCAGTTTTTTGTGAACACGTATTCTTGAATGAGTTCTAACATGTTCTGTCACCTTATAGAAAGAATTGACATTGAGAGTCAGCTTAAGTTCTGCACTGAGAATTCTTTAACCTTAGGTAAATCTTTTAACTAAGGTTTTCTTATTTATGTATAAATAATACTTGATTTCAGGTATTACTTGTAATTTTTGAGAATTAGTCAGGGGTTGAGAACCTTACATGAAATATCTCCCCTCCCATTTATGAGAATTGTAACTGGAAGTAGTAAAAGTTTGAGAGTATCTGAGAATTTACATCTTCAGCCACTGAGTTGCTCCAAGCTGTCTTATATTGAAGGAGTTTTTTAAAAATTCCTGTCCGTCTCACACTGGTACCTTTGTAAGATAACATGAAAATGGATCACTGGAAAAGATGAGGAAAAGACCAACACTTAACTTTTTACTATTAGATTCAATAGACATAAAATTATTTTGTCAAATTGCAATGAAGGTACTTAAATGCGTTGAATTTCCATGGTTAACTAATGTTAACCATTAGGAGCTGTTCCGGCATAAGTCCATGGACCACACTTTGAGAACCTTTGCTTTAAAGCCTAAACCACAGTCTGTGTTGGAAAGTGGACATGAGTAGTAAATAATCATTCATACAGATATTTTTTCCGAAGGGACACATCTAATTTGCACTGCAAAATTTATCACATAATCAAATGCTTTTCAAGTTAGGATTTTATTAATACTTTTCTTAAAATTAATGTATCTTTTGTTTCTGTTTTCCTTCTGCCACCCTACAATTACTTACTGAATACTATCAAGTATTTGGCATTGTGCTAGATACTACTAAGGATATTAAGATAAATGATACTCAATTCCTTCCCTGCCATTAGTCTCTCATTGTTGTCCAAGATTTCCAGTAGTGATACCATGGAGGACATGGTTCTTAAGGGTCTTCAGAAACCTTTGCCAGGCTAATGAGCCAAGAAGTCACTTTGGCCTACATCCTCTTAATGTATTTTATGTGAAATACATTAGTCCCTTCCTTCCCACAAGCAAAAGAAAATGGAGAAATTAGAGAATGCTGATTTATATAGTATTTAAAAGGTACTGTATATCACATAATTTTAAAAATGAAAAACATGTTTTATGCATATGAAGTATGAAGTAGTTCACATAAATTCATGTTATGACAGAACCTTTCAGGAGTACATCAGTTTGTAAAATAAGATAAGCCTATATGAAGATTATTGTTGCTTGGAAGAAATTTTCACTTTTTTTTTTGTTTTTTGAATAGCTGTCTTGTTAACATCTGTCTCTTAAGCTGAAAAATGTGCTACATATTTTTTCCCCTAATATACACTATGGACTTTTCTGGTTGTAGTTTTAAGATGCACGGCATAGGGTGACAGATAGTGATGTGTGTTAGTTTTACCCACAAGTTTTTAAAAAAAATTTTTCTGTTTTAGAAAGATAAGATCCTTAGAAATAGAGCCATCAATAATCCATAAGGTCCCTTTGTACAAATTAGAAAAAGGCACTCCTTCCTTAAAAAGCATTCCTACTGTCTGCCAGAAAAAGTATCACAGTAAACATACGAATTTATGATATTTACAATAAGAATGGCCTTGTAGTATGTTGTGTACTGAATAACCTACATAACCGTAAATGGTGGCCCTGCTTGGGAGCCATTTCCTTTATCCTTTAATATTCTCTCTGTGTATGATAACTAATACATGAAAGCAAATGATGTAAAATATCTCCCTATTTAGAAGGTATTATGTCTAGTTATTGATATCTGTTTGCCAAATGTGTTTAAAATTAAAGTCAATGCAATTTTGAAATTAAATTTGTGGCTGCTCCTTTTCAACCATTTTATTGAGAGTATAGTTTTTACATATGGCAATTCTTTGAATAAAATTAAATATTAACATTGGACCTACTTGCCAGTTTCTTGAAAGCAGTGTTCTCAGCCTTAAATGTTTTTAAAGGTAGTTATATATTTAAAATTTTTTTTTAATCCAAGCCCTCCATGGTTAAAAAAAATAGCTTGGATTGGATTTTCTTTTTTCTTTTTTTTGAGACAGAGTCACGCTGTCAGGCTGGAGTGCAGTGGTGTGATCTCGGCTCACTACAAACTCTGCCTCCCAGGTTCAAGCGATTGTCATGCCTTAGCCTCCTGAGTAGCTGGGATTACAGGCGTGTGCCACCACGTCTGGCTCATTTTTGTATTTTTTGTAGAGACAATGTGTCACCATGTGAGCCAGGCTGGCCTCTAACTCCCGACTTCAAATAATCCCTGCACCTTGGCCTTCCAAAGTGCGGGGATTACAGGCATGAGCCACCATGGCCGGCTGTTTTGGATTTCCTTAATGTCTGGTGTAGTAATTTATGGTATTTTGAAGGGTTGTCTCTCCATTGTGTTGATTTGTTAATTTTATAAATGTAGTATTTTATAAATATACCTGTCAAGCTTGAATTTAAATATGATATTGTATAGCTATACCTTCATTTTTAGCTGTACACTTATGAGGGTACTCTTTTACATTTAAAATAAGATAAAAAATAAAATAAAAAATAAAGATGAGAAATACGTAGTCTGAGTTGGTTAAGTGATTCTTATGTGCTAGACACTGTTAAATGCCTTGTATTAATTACCTGTTGATTCCCACAACCCTGAAACTAATAACAATGTGATATTTATTGTTTTATTTTTAATTAAGAGGCAGGGTCTTGCTCTCTCACCCAGGTTGGAGTGCAGTGCCACAGTCATAGTTCACTGTGGCCTCAAACTCCTGAACACAAACTCTTCCCACCTCAGCCTCCCGAGTAGCTGGGACTACAGGCACCCACCACCACGCCCAGTTAATTTTTTGTATATTTAGTAGAGACAGGGTTTCACCGTGTTAGCCAGGATGGTCTCAATTTCCTGACCTAATGATCTGCCCGCCTCAGCCTCCCAAAGTGCTGGGATTATAAGCGTGAGCCACTGTGCACGGCCATGTTGGCGAATTTGATATACAGAACTTAGAATAATGCCTTTCTGAAGTTTTTAGGGAGGTCAGGGGAGGTGAGTTAATTATAGGACAGTACTATGCTTTTTGGCATCAGGTTATTTCTAAAGAAGGTTGATGAAAACAGCTTAACATTTGAAATAATTAAAGTTGTAAATCATTTAAAATGTCTTAAAAACCAGTTTGCATGGGCATGTAGATTTGTAAAGGTATATTTGACATTGTCCCAGAAGAGCAAATTCCTGAAGTTAGAAGTGAGAGCGTATATACTAAAAGGAGTCTGGTTCAACGTAATGCCTGAAAGACTTCAAGAACTGATGACCTAAATTGATTTACTGTGTTTTTCACCACCTATGTTTCATCATTGGTTCACAATACAAAATATGCCTTTGGGGCATTAGTCAATGTACCAAAATTATAAGATATAATTTTAAATACTGTGAGCCAAAAGGAAATTTTATGCCTTGTCTTTTCTGGATTACAGAAGGTATTTAGAGTGTGTGGTTTTTTTTTGTTTTTGTTTTTGTTTTTTTTTGAGACAGGGTCTTGCTCTGTCATCCAGGCTGGAGTACAGTAAAGTCATGGCTCATGACATCATCAATCTCCTGAACTCAAGCAATCCTCTCACCTCAACCTCCTAAGTAGCTGGAACCATAGGCACGAGCCACCACACTTGACTAATTTTTTTTATTTTTTATTTTTTTTGTAGAGAGGAGGTCTTGCCATGTTGCCAGGGTGGTCGTGAACTTCTGGACTAAAGAGATCCTCCCACCTTGGCCTCCCAAAGTGCTGGAATTACAGGCATGAGCTACCATGCCCAGCCCACTTTTTTTTTCCTTATAAAATTTCCTTTCTAAATATGAAAAGGGGAGAAAAATTTTTTATTAATGCTTCTTATCTCCTTATAGTCTTCTTTCATCTCAGTTTTTTGCCACATCATTTAAATATGTTTTTATTTTTCCTGTTAAGTTTTGTTTTCAAGAGAAACCTGTTGGCTGACTCTTAAGTGCTGAATTTCATGACTTTCATTTCCACCAGTATTTTTTAAACTTGGCAGTTTGAGTATCTGCTAAAAATAGCTTCCTGTTGGTATATTGGACAAAAGAAAAACTTCTCTTCTTTTATTCTGTCCTACCAGAACTTAGTAGAGAATGTGTTACCAGCCTACTTTTTCTAAGTCAAATGACACAAAATGTATTTTCTTACTAAAACCATATGTTCTTATAATGGACTATTTTTTTCTCCTCGCTTACAGGAAATGCTTTGGTCTTTTAAAAATTAGTCAGAATGAAAAGTGAAGGCATGTACCTTGGTTCTTCAAGTTTTAACTGATTTGCCACCTAATTTTTAGCAGATTGATAAAATATTTGTCTTGGCTGCCCAGACAATTGTTGTACAACTATAAAATAGGTAAAATTATTAGAAAACAGCAAAACATTCCCCTCCCCTAAAGAAAAGTCCACAAAAACTTTATGTTCCACAGGTTGGGGAAAGCTGTATTTTATCACCCTTTCACATTTTAATATTTTCATTTCTCTAGCACTAGAAAGTTTGGGATTTGGCTCCTACATCAGTGAAGTAAAAGAAGTCTTGCAAGAGTGTAAAACAGTAGCATTAAAAAGAAGAAAGGCCAGTTCTCGTTTGGAAAACCTTGGCATTCCTGAAGAAGAGTTATTGAGACAGCAGCAAGAATTATTTGCAAAAGTAAGTAATTTATTTACATTATTTTCCTCTGAATCCTACCCTGATTGCTAACTGAAATTGCTTCCTAAATTAACAGACATACCCAGAAGATTCCCTTTTTCTAGGTAGTTGATTATAGAATCTAGTGTTCAGAGCTGACCAATTTGACTCTGGTTTATGTGAATGTAAATATTTGCAGCAATCTGTTTTCTAAAGAGAACAACTCCAAATACCTATTGAAATTTCACTTTAATATTTTTTTCAGACAGAATGACCATTTTAAGGCGTGAAAAGTATACATAAATGTTCTTAAGATTTAAAATGATGAGCTGATGAGAAAATTCTATATCAGATTTTATGATGCATGACATACAAGCAAAATCTGATTAATATCAACTGTGTAGTTAAATTAGGTATTTAATGTACACCTTTGAAGCATTTTAATCTTAAAAAAGTATTTTAAAGCTAGTAGAGCAAAGGGAGAAAATGTTTTCTTCCTTGCTTATTATAATTCTAATATCTAGACTCTGAAGAATTAGAATCAAATACTAATATTCCTCTGTTTCAAAAAGAAAAGGGAGGGGAATTGGTGGCAAGGCTGTTTTTTCCCTTCTAAGTTCTGGCCTTTCATTTGAAATTATAAGGCAGCTTTGGATTGAATAGAAGAGAAGTTGTAGTAACCATTAGAACTGGGAAGTATCATTTTAGGTAAACTCTTCCAGATTAGTCCTGTAGCTGATCTCTCTGCAGCCATAACAATCAGTTTGGTTTATATCAAACTGCATTTGAGTCTTAAGTATGTTTAGTCACTAGACACCAAGTACCATTTAAACTTAAGGTAAAAAGAAAAACTTACATTTATTGAGTTCTAACCACGTGTTAATCACATTGCCAAGTAATTTACTTGCATTATCTCATTTAATCCTCACAGCCTATCATAGGCACTAAAGAGGAAAAGCCTTTGAAGCAGGCGTGAGTACATGCAATGTTATAATCCATATGAATATGAGGTACGAAAGAAGAGGTGTTGGTGTTTTAAAAACATTAATCGCATTTATTGATTTATGCTATTGCAGACCACCTAGAGAATGCTAAATTAAACATTTGGTGACAGAAGATGCTCTCCTGGATACTTTAAATACATAAAAACTTGGCAGAGTTTTTATGAAATATAAATTTTATTGTATTCATTTACATATTAAAAAATAGATTCAGAGGTGGAACAAGTTGCTTGAAATTATTTGTCATTTGTTCTACAGTTACTTACTGAAGTCCTTACTATTTACCAAGCATCGTGCTAGGTGCTAGGCTTACAAGAGTGAACAAGGAGACAGGGTTCCTGTCATTATAGAGCTTAGTCTACTGGGGAAGATTGAGTGGGAAAGATTGACTTAAATAAAACAGTAAGTTCAGAAAGTTAGGAAGTGTTGGAGTCTGTATTTAAACTTAAGTATTTTGGCCCAAAAGCCTCTACTGTTTCTACAATACCATGCTAATGCTCTAGCCTCCATTTTATCTTCTTAAACTTATTGTGGGGCTTTTAAATAGAATATGTATTATCCTTGTTAGGGCAAATTATAAAGAAATAATTGACTGCCTGCTATATCTGTCTTCACCTCTCTATCCCAATTATCTGTTTTTTATTCCTCTTTTTTATCTCCCTTGTTTCTTACCCTGGCTTATGTATGAAGATCTCTAGTATTTCTTTGCTTTTGTGAGGATGACCAGCGGAGAGGTAAAATTATAGCAGTTGCCTAGTACTTCTTCCCTACAGCACTGAAGCTCTAAATGTGAAAGAATGGATAAGTAAATATATCTTTTTTGTCACTTTCATTTTGTTTCATCTTTTAGACTTTAAATATTAACACAATGACAGCCTCATTTGAAGCTAGCAGCAAATATTTGGAAGGAGGGAACCTTTAATACATCAAGATTAAAGTTAACTTTAAATTATAAATGAGTCATTTTAATATGTGGGAGTGAGTATCTTAAAACATAATGAAAACCTCCAAAAGAAAAGTGAATTAGGAAATATATGCCTGCTTACCTGTCTTTCCCTCCCCAATTTTAGAAGAAAAATACTTGGGATGGATTGAATAGGGGGCAAGAGAGAAAAAAATATATTAGAGTAAATATCACTGAAAAACGTTCAATTTGTGGAAATGAATACAAGTAAAATTTTATCAATCAACTTTTTTTTTTTTTTTTTTTAAAGAGATAGGATCTCACCATGTTGCCCAGGCTAGAGTACAGTGGCTATTGACAGGCTCTATCAGGCACACTTGAGCCTAGAACTCCTGGGCTCAAGGGATCCTCCTACCTCAGCCTCACGAGTAGCTGGGACTATAGATGTGCACTAGTGAGTCCAGTTCAACAGTTAGTTTTAAAGGCATAGAAGTGCTTTTATGTTCAGAGAAAAGTATCAGAGCTGATACAGGGGCATGGTACCTAAAAGTCAATTAAATCTGAATTGTAACTAGTACACAACTTTGCAGACCATTGAATAAACTACCAAATCAAGCACCTTTGCAGTAAAACCTTTGTAGAGACTTGAAATTATTTGAATTTTTTCCATGTCACAAAATTATACCAATTTGTAATTGATTAGACCACAAAATATAGGTATGCTTAAGTTGGTTAAATTTACATATTTGATTTGCCCTGCAATTTTCTTATGAACTCTTAGAATTTTTTTTTTTTTGAGATGGAGTCTTGCTCTGTTGCCCAGGCTGGAGTGCAATGGTGCTGTCTTGGCTCATTGCAACCTCCACCTCCCAGGTTCAAGCGATTCTCCTGCCTCAGCTTCCCAAGTAGCTGGGATTACAGGCATGCGCCACCATGCCTGGCTAATTTTTGTGTTTTTAGTAGAAACAGGGTTGCACCCTGCTGGCCAGGCTAGTCTCAAACTCCCAACCTCAGGCGATCTGCCCGCCTTGGCCTCCCACAGTGCTGGGATTGCAGGCATGAGCCACCGCACCCAGCCTTAAAATGTTTTTAGTGAAGCTCTGTTAGTTGGTTTTGAACTCTGGGTATTCCTGCCATAAAAGTAAATATGCTAGTGTGTTAGAATCTACTATTTTTCCTATTTCTTTACAACAATGGATGACAATCATCGTTAGGGAGAATGGCTGGTTTCTAATTTCCTAAGCAAAATAAAGTTTTTGTTTACTGTAAAAATTGTCTTAGCCTTGTTTTTTCTAATATCTATAGTCTTTTCCTTACTTATTTTTTTTGTCTTTGCCTTTAACCATATACGGGTCTTCTGCATTTCCTTGTATCCCCCAAACCCTTTCATCTTTTGCTATAATGATCTGTGTTACTCACCAAGCAAGGTGGCACCTTCCTGTAGTCCCAGTTACTCAGGAGATCGAAGCAAGATAATCCCTTAAGGCTAGGAGTTCAAGGTTGCAATGCATAACAACTATGCCTGTAAATAGCCACTGAACTTTAGTCTGGACAACATAGTGAGACCCTGTCTCTAAAATAAATAAATAAATAAGTAATGATCAGTGCTACCATTTTTTGAAAACATACAGTCACTTATTCCTCAAATTTAACTTCTTTCCTATCACAGAGACATTTAATCACGAAATTCAGTAATTTTTTTTCCTTTCAATTCTTACTCATCTGTTTTTTTAAAAATAACATTTGATGTAGACCTCTTCCTTTATTAGTCCCTGATACTATGGTTATGTGGGTAGCTTTCCCCCAAGGTAATATCTTTTCTTCTTTCACTTCCCTACTGCCACCTACACCAGTACCACCCCACTCCTGCCCTTCAGTCAACAAATTTCAAGTCAGAATTAAATTAACGTGTCCCTACTGTCTGCAAGACATATGTGGTACTGTAGATATACAAAAATGAAGACTATATCATTCTTCTTAAGAAACTTAGTATCTAGTAGGGGAGGTATAATGCAGACACACTAACAGCTGTTATGAGATTGACTACTTGGATGAAGAAGATAACTATAATATGAAGCTGGGCTGAGCGCGGTGGCTCAAGCCTGTAATCCCAGCACTTTGGGAGGCTGAGGCGGGCGGATCACGAGGTCAGGAGCTCGAGACCATCCTGGCTAACACAGTGAAACCCCGTCTCTACTAAATACAAAAAAATTGGCCGAGCGTGGTGGCGGGCTCCTGTAGTCCCAGCTACTTGGGAGGCTGAGGCAGGAGAATGGCGTGAACCCAGGAGGCGGAGCTTGCAGTGAGCCAAGATCGTGCCATTGTACTCCAGCCTGGGTGACAGAGTGAGACTCCGTCTCAAAAAAAAAAAAAAAATGAGGCCAACCACTTACGAGAAAGATATTCTGGCTGGGCATAGTGGCTCACACCTGTAATCCTAGCACTTTGGGAGGCCCAGGTGGGAGAATCACTTGAGCCCAGGAGTGCGAGACCAGCCTGAGCAATATAGTGAGATCCTATCTCTACAAAAATAGAAAGAGAGAAGGAAAGAGAAAGAAAGAAATCTCAAGTATGGAAACATTACATCAATTTTTGGGGGTGCAGGAGTATGCCAACTAGTAAGCAGTTAGCTTAGCTCCAGAACCACCTTTCTGTGCTCTGCTTTGTGACTGGACCTAGTACTCTGTAAGCCACATGTTTCTTTGCTAGCTGACTCTCCATTAGACACTGTTGCCAGTATGGGGTTCTCGTGGGAGATTGCATGGATGGAGGAAGACAACTTTCTCTTGTCTTTCAGTTCCTTTGAACAAACCAGCAACACTTCTTCATCCTGGTTGCATCAGTTTTCCTGTAGCAGAGACTGAATCCTGTTTGCATTTTCTCTAATACACAACCCGCCTGAACCCGCACTCCATCCCCCCACTCTGGCGGTGTGGATCGCAACCCTTGGGGCCCTCGTCCAAGCACGGATATATTAGTACTAGCTTATCTATGCCCATTCTTCCGAGGTCTGAGTTTCAGTTCCATGAAGTGGTTTCGTTAAGCGTCTAAATTTTAAAAATTCTAGCATTTTCCTCTATTCCCCCAGTTTTAGGGTTGGTGGCTGCTTCCTGTAGCTACTTTCATGACATCTTAATGTTCTCTTCCTGCCTTTTCAGCTGCCTAAAAACAACTTTATACTTGTTTAACAGTTCTTTATATTAAATTTTTTCCATTCCAGTAACTCGTGTGACTTCTTTCTCTTGATTATACACTGACTGATACCAGGAGGAGAAAATAGTATTTCAGTTTGACTTGAAGGAAGGGTAAAATTTCAGTAAGTGGCAGGAAATTTCACATAGGATGAATGTCAGCATGAGTAAAAGTAGCAAAGATGAGGAAGTATGGTGTAAATTTGGGAAACATTTTGTATTCTAGGCTTTTTTGAAGCACAAAGTGCATGTTACAAGAAAAGACTATAGAGAAGTTGGGGTAGACACTAATTTGGAGGATCTTGAACTCTAGGCTAGGAAATTTGGATTTGATTGATAACAATTTTTTTTTTTTAAAAATGAAATAATGACCTGATTAGAATTTATATCTAGAAACGTTTGGATAATAAAGTCATGACAGATTATTCAGAAGAGTGAGGATTGTATATGGTAAAATCTTAAATGTTACTGGTTATGCTGGCCATCACTGTTTTCCTGTAGCATGTTCATTCAGAAAATACTGAAGGCCTTTGTGTTAGGAATGCAACAAAGAATATGGAAACAATCTCTGTTCTCAAGTGTGGTGGAAAAAAAAGATATAAACTTAGATAATTCTAGAACAAAGTGGATGGATATGGGAATGCATAGGGAATTATGGTATATGAAATAGAGCATAAAATATGGCCTGGAAAGGTCAAGAAAAACTAACTGATTTGCATTTCAAATGATGACTAGGAATTACCTATGCATAAAGGGGAGGGTATGACCTGGACTTAAAGAACAATTCCCAGAACAGACAGAAAAGGAGAAAAGGATTGTTTTGGCAGAGTCTAATGGGAAATTATAAGACCTTTTTAAGAACAGGTTCGTTTTTTCCCTTCTTGGTGTGGTTTTTCTACAAACAGATAAAATTAAATTGTGAAGGAGCCTTAGCTGTTTCTTATGTAATTCATATGTATGCATCTTGGTTTCTAAAATCCTGTGGTTGTTTTTAATAGAGGATATATCAGATGAATGGATTTTAAGTAGTATCTTTTTACTAGTGTGTATACGGAAAGGATATGTATATTTGTATGTGTACGTGTGTATATGCAAATGTGTGTGCTTACAGAGAGGGAATGAGGGACACAGAGATAGGCATATCGTAGGTTAGGGAATTGTAATAGAAACTCAGAAAGAAATATTGGGGTAGCTACTGCATACATGTATAGTACTTCCTTCATATGAGGTAGAGGTACTATACTAGAGAACTTTTAAACCATATAAATTTTAGATTGAAAAATGTTTATATCAAAATTTAATTTGAGGGTACGGAAGAGTCAAGTGAAATGAAAGGAAAAGTACAGGGAAAGAGCTAGAGGGAATATTGTGGGTTTTGTCAACTTTTTCAACTTCTTCAGTTGAACCAAAGGTCATAAATTACGTGAAATAAAAGAGGGCCATTTATAAGAGACCTAAGTTTGAGAAATTTCTTAGACCTGTGTAGTTAGAAAAAAGCAATCTCTAATTATATTTACCTATAGAGTTTATGTTCTCCAGGTGTGTGACAATTACATAGTAGTTGGACAATATCCAGATGTATGATGATAACAGTCTGAAATTGGCCTAATCTACATTTAACGAAAGTGTATATATTATGGGTTTTTAAAAAATTGTTATCATTTTTTTAATGTTTTGGTTGTTTAGGCTAGACAGCAACAAGCAGAATTGGCCCAACAGGAATGGCTTCAAATGCAGCAAGCTGCCCAACAAGCCCAGCTTGCTGCTGCCTCAGCCAGTGCATCTAATCAGGCGGGATCTTCTCAGGATGAAGAAGATGATGATGATATCTGAAATTCACCAGCTGAGTTTCTATTTCTTCCATAAATGTTTTTCCCTGCACAACAAAAACAGTGAAAGAAATGCTTATCTGTAATTTTGTATGCATCTTGGTGGACTTGTCATTGGTATTCTAGGGATGTCTGCTATTAAGTTTCATCTATTGTGTGCTATACATGTAAAAACTGTCTCTTTGAACTATTGAAAATTTAAGGTTCAGTATAATATCAATTTTGAATTTTTAATGGTGTTTATGAAATTTTAGATAGCAGCAAGTCCTTCATTTGATCAATAAACAGTGTTACAGAAAACTTCAAGTTTATAAAAATACAGTGAAATTTCTACAAAGCTCTAAATCTGCATTTGCATTTCCTCTGCCCTTTTAACTAAACTAAAACTTGTGAATTTTAAATTATTAAGGGGGGGTGCTGTGTGAATCAGTAGACATTGGATTGGGTTGGTGAAAGAGTTCAGTTCTGTAGTATCTGAATTTGTCTTTTAAAATGAGAACATATATAGGCAATAAATATATATGCTCAGATCAATATACTTGTTTAGAAAAACTTCAAGACATTAAAAAACTAGGAAGGAGTATGTTTAATAGTAGTTGTATAAATTTGGTGGTTATGTTTTTTTATTTTGTTTTTGTTTTGTGTAGAGGTAAAAACTATAGTTTTATTACAACATAATTCATTTTGAGCTCCGCTATGACATTTCAAAGACTGCCCAGTTTGGAAGTCTGTCATGATTTATACTCTTTCGCTCTAATTCAGTAATTGTTGATAGTATTACTTACCTAGTCCATCCATACTCATATTATTCAAATATATAGGTGGGACTTTTGAAACAATTGCATTGATTCCCTTGGTTTAACTGAGGTTCATGAATATTCAAACCTTTGCTGGGGGAAAGAAATGAAAGTTAATGAGCATGCTTGCTATGAGAGAGGGATTTTTAATTTAACTTGTAGTTATAGTTTACTTATTGTTTTTAGAATTACTTTTACATTTTCCCGACTAGATGGCCTAGAGTCCAACATTACCTTTTGAGATGACATTATTGTCTCCATTCATAATTGAGTGATAGCTTTAAAAAAAAGATTAGTTTTGCTTAAGAAGTTGTGTTACAACTGATCAGCCCTATATGAATTAACTGATCAGCCCTATATGAAACAGAAGTTGTGTTATAACTGATCAGCCCTATATGGAACATAAATAGTTTCTACCTGCTTATTAAAAGAGAGAAGCTTTAATTTGGTTCTAAAAAATAAAGTATGGTAGTGATTATAGGAATCCAGGATGTTGAAGAAATGGGATAGTGTCTATATTTTGGAAACAGAAAGGAAAAGTCACTTAAGATAGTATTAAGTAATTAAATTCCTATGTCAGTTGCCAAATCTTTTAAACTTATGTATTCACCAAGCCCAAAAATAGATTGTGGCTCCCAGGATTTCAATTTTAATTGGAGAGCTAGGTAAGTAAAGTTTTATAACTATTAGGTTTCTTAATGATCATATTTTGCAGTTTTAGTAAAAGGGAAATATTGTTATACATTTATTAAATATACTTCCCCCATGAAGTGAAAAGGTTAATTTTGCTGAATGTTTTAAGTTGAAGTTACTTCATAGATGTCATACCCATGAAGTGCATTTGGATGAGATAGAAGAAATTGTTTTTTAAAAAGTTTAAGTACCAAAGGTAGTCTAGTCTAGAACAATAATAAGTTAATATGTGTTGGCTTTTCTAATTTGTACTGTAACATCCTTATACTTTCTATTTTAAGTATATCTGTTCTTAAGTAAACAACTTAGATATTTTCCACACCTTTTTTTTTTTTGATGCAGAGTTCAGGTTAATTAATATTTTACTGCATCTGATAATGTATTATACGTTTGAAGCCTAGTGACTTTTCATTTTGACATTCTTGTGATTTCATATGCTGTATTCTTCAAGCAATAAAATTGTGATGTGTTTTATAAATGGTTTTTATATTTAATGATCTATAGAGAGATTTCTATTATTACAATTTTTACTAGTTTCAAGAATCTTAGGCCCAGAAGACATTTTGGTCATTTGGTATGTAGTACCTGCCTTTTGTTTTTGTTTACTGTTATTTCAAAAAATGTGGTTTTACTTGTGTTTTTGTAATTTACAGTCGTAAGATCGAGGCATAACAAAGGTACTTATGCAATATTTTATTTTTAGATTTTTTTTTTTTTTTTTTTTTTAGCATTTGAGAGTCACTGTTATGTTTTGCCAGTTAAAATTTTTTAAATCTCTTGAAGAGAGAAACTAAATCTTTAGCGTTCTCGAGAAATAAAGTTATTGTTCAGTAAGTATTTTTCCATCCCCTTGAATATATGTTATATATCTTTTTCGGCAGATTATCAGATTATTAAGTGTTTAAAAGGCATTGGTTTTTAAAACTGCATATACCACACACACACAGAACAGTACACAAATAAAGATTTTCACAAATTAAGCAAACTCATATACCAGTCTTCAGATCAAAATACAGAGCATTATGTATACCCCAGAAACCCTTCTCTTGCCCTGTCTTAACACTATCTTCTTTCTTGCTGAAAGTTACTATCCTGAATTCTAAAATCATGGATTAGTTTTGCCTGTTTTTTATTTTATGTAAATGCAATCATACGTAATACACTTTTTTTCGTTCATCATTTTATAGTCCTGGAGATCAGAAGTCCAAAAGTCAGTTTCATTAGGCCTAAATCAAAGTATCAGCAGGGTTGGCTCTTTCTTGAGGTTGTGAGGGAGAATGTTTTCTTCCCTTTTTTGGCTTCCAGTGATGACCTGTATTTATGGGCTTGTGACCCCTTCTTCTCTATGATCAAAGCTTGCTTTTGTCATTATATCATCTTCTGTAGTCAGATCTTTCCCTGCCTCTACGTTTAGGGCTCACCTGCATAAAGCAGGGATAATCCCCCTATCTCAAGATCCTTAATTTAATCACATTTGCAAAATCTCTTTTGCCATATAAGTGACATTGACAGGTTCCAGGGATTCATACGCTGGCTATCTGTGGAGGCCATTATTCAACCTGCCAAAGTGAGATCCATCCTTATTGTTGCATGTATTTGTAGCTCATTCATTCTTATTGCTGTATAGTCTTGCATTTATTTATCCATTTTTCATTACATCCAAAAGTTATTCACTCTTCCATGGATAGTCATTTGAGGATTTTTCAGTTCTGAGCTATTAAGAATAGTACTGTGGAGAACATTCTTATACATGTCTTTTGGTGAGTGTATACATTGCCATTGAGTATAAACCTAAGAATGGAATTGCTAGGTTGTATGGTGTGTGTATTTTCAGTTTTAGTATTTACTGTCAAACAGTTTTCCAAAATGACTGTAAAGGCACCTTTTTAATGTGTAGCATAATAATGAATTACCCTAATGATCTTAGTGGGTTGAATTTCTCAGAACACCTAAATTGTACCAAATAAGTTATGTTGCAGCAGGTATGTTGTTATTTAATTTCGTATAAGAGGAAAATAAGAGCAAAAGTAATTGCCCTTATTAACTGACACATTAGTATTACATACTCATTAGGTTATTGCTCCTTAGAAAAAATGCAAATTTTAAGTAGTTATAAGTGATATCTTGAATTAGTATGTTGTGGGAAAATCTGTGATACAATTTTTTAATTGAATTTTAAATTTGGGGTTATAACGTCATTAAAATGCATGATATTTCCTTATATAGGTTTCTAAATTATGTTTCTCCAACTCACCTATGTCCAAATGGCCATCAGGAAGAATTATCCAATTCAGATGGCATAGGCACTGACTTCCACTTTCTTCACTTGTATTTTTTTGTTGCTGTCTTCTTTTTTTCCTCTGTCCCCAGCAGTTTGACTGCAAGTCCTACCCCACCTCCTCTGTTTTTCACCATGCCCCAGGATATAAAGTGTTATGGTTAGGATCGGCCAGGGTGAAGAGAATGATAACATAAGTAGCCTCCTTTCAAACCCAAGGTATTACCACTGGTTCTTATCCTATTTCCTCAAAATAAATGAGAAGGGAAAGTAAGGAATAAGAGGAAGAAACTTTTTTTTTTTTTTTTTTTTTTAATAAGAAACAGGGTCTCTCTATGTTTCTTTTTTCTTTCTTGCTTGCTTTTTTTTTTGAGACAGTCTCACTCTCACCCAGGCTGGAGTGCAGTGGCACGATCTCGGCTCACTGCAAGCTCTGCCTCTTGGGTTCACGCCATTCTCCTGCCTCAGCCTCCCGAGTAGCTGGGTCTCCAGGTGCCCGCCACCACGCCCAGCTAATTTTTTTTTTTTAGTAGAGACAGGGGTTTCACTGTGTTAGCCAGGATGGTCTCGATCTCCTGACCTCGTGATCCACCTGCCTTGGCCTCCCAAAGTGCTGAGATTACAGGCGTGAGCCACCACGCCTGGCCCACGTTTCTTAATATAGATTGCAGTGGCTAGATTCCAGTATCTATTCACAGGCATAATCATAATGCACCATAGCCTCAAACTCCTGGGCTCAAGCAATCCAAAAGGAGGAAACTTTTAACTTATGATCAGTTTCTACCATAAATAAGCAACTTAGAAAAACCTTAGAATAGGGTTTCTCAAACCAAGCATTGTTAGTATTTGAGGTTGGTTAAGTCTTTGTTGTGGGAGCCTATCCTGTGCATTGTAGGATTTCTAGCAGCAGAATTCGCTTATACCCAGTCAATATCATTAGCACCACTCCCCACCCTACTTCCAGTTGTGACGACCCAAAAATGTGTCCAGACATTGCCAAATGTCTCTGGGTGTTGCGGGGATAGGAGGCAAAATTGCCCCCTGTTGAAAACCACCAGCTTAGATCATCAAGGTTTTACTTTTAGGATAAGACACTTGAGGGAAAGGCTGTGAAACTGAACCTGTGTTAGAAGCAACACACAGTATCACTGCAAAAAGACTAAAAGAAATAGGTGATTTGGAAAGAAGAGGCCCAGGGTTAAAATGTGTTTCCAAGAAAGTCAAATCTTACAGGAGACTCTTGACTTCACATCTGCTGATCCCTTCACCCGATAGGACCTAGAGCAGCTATTATAAATCTCTCTACCTGCTTGCTGCTTTTCTACCTCATTGTTAGCCACACCCAGTTTGAAACAGATAAGGTATGCTATCTCATAACTAGTACATCTTTTAATAACCATTTTTATTGTGATTAAATATACATATCATAAAATTTGCCACTTTAACCAGTTTTAAGTGTTCAATTCTGTGGCATTAAGTATTTTCATACTATTTTGCAACCACCACCACCATCCATCTACAGAACTCTTCATCTTCCCAAACTGAAATTCTGTGTTCATTAAACAATAACCCCCCATTACCTCCTCTCTCCTCAGCCTCTGGTAACCACCTTTCAGTCTCTATGAATTGACTACTCTAGATATCTAAATAGATTCATTCTTATTTCATTTACCATAATGTCTTCAAGGTTCATTCATATTGTAGCATGTATTAGAATTTCTTTTCTCTTAAAGGCCGAATATGCCATTGTATGTATATATCATATTTTGTTTATCCATTCATCCATTGATGGACACTGGATTGCTTCTGCTTTTTGGCTCTTGGGAATAATGCTTCTGTGAACATGGGTATACAAATAGCTGTTTGAGTCGTAATAGGCTTGTTATTTTTGAGTGCACAGATCTGTATATTCGCAATTGAAATAGGGAAAGTCTTTATATACATATAAAAATAATTTATAATACAATAAGTCCTCAATGTTGTTGATAGGTTCTTGGAAACTGCGAGTTTAAGAAAAACAACATACAATGAAACCAATTTTACCATAGATGAATTGATATAAATAAGAGTTAAGTCCCTATGGCATATATTTCTGGTCACAAAAACATTACCAAATTTCTAATGAAGACCCAAAACATTTCTAAAATTAAACACTGAGATTAATGTGAACTTTATATACATTTAAAAAGGATAAAAACAAGTAAGAATTGGCCAGACATGGTGACTTACGCCAGTAATCTCAACACTGGGAGGTCGAGGTGGGCAGATGGCTTGACCTCAGGAGTTCGGAACCAGCCTGGATAATATGGTGAAACCCTATCTCTACAAAATTACAAAAAATAGCCAGAGGTGGTGGCTTGCACCTGTAGTCCCAGCTACTCGGGAGCCTGATGTGGGAGGATCCCTTGAGCCTGGGAGGTCGAGGCTGCAGTGAGCCATGATCATGCTACTGCACTCCAGTCTGGGCAACAGAGCAAAATCCTATCTCAAAAAAAATATATATTATCCAGCCCCAAATGTTTATGGGGTGGTTATTGATAGACTCTGCATTAAACAATCCCACAGTTGGTGCTGTAGTGAGCTGTGATGGTACCACTGCATTCCATCCTGGGTGACAGAATGAGACCCTGTCTCAAAAAAAAGGTAAAAATTATTTACCCAATATTTGGCAAATCAGTGAGTAACAGTGGTTGTAGTGGTAGTGGGTTAAATCAAGGAATAACTGGGAAGTGAAAATTGTAAGGAGCACCTCCTACTACCATGCAGTTCAAAAACAAAAAATAAGAAAGCTGGCTGAGTGCTTTCATATTGCATCATTTATTGTGCATTTGTATGATCATATACTTTACAAATTTTTGTTTTACAATAATTTGTATTCATTTGTTTTTCAGTCTGCTTAGTTCAGTGTCTTGAGTAGCTAGAGCCTATCCCAGCAACTCAGGGAGCAAGGTGGGAGCCAGCCCTGGACAGGATGCCTTTTCATCGCAGTTTGTACTCTCACAGCACACACACTGGTACTGGGACCATTTAGCTGTACCAGTTCACCTAATATGTACATCTTTGGAATTGAGAAGAAACCAGAGTACCCAGAGAAAACTCATGCAGATATGTGGAGGACATGCAAAATTCACACGGACAGTGTCCCTGGTTTGTAAATAATTGTTTCTCATCAACATTATAATGAAATTACAGGCTGGGCG